GGGGGGGTGTCTCTGGCCAGAAGGGGGGGTCTGCCAGTGGGGGATGAGCTGACGGGGGTCCCCCTGGCCAGAAGGGGGAGTCCGTCGGGGGGATGGGGTGAGGGGATCTCCTGGTGAGAAGAGGGGCTCCTCCCCATTGAAGGTGGGGGTCACTTTCCCCAGGCCACACGAGGAGGGGAAAGGACCCTGCTGTTGATGTCGGGGTGCTCTTCTCCAGGGTCTGTAGCCGAGCGGGGCCGCTACCTGTCCAGGTTCCCCAGTGTTGTCTGGTTTTGGGGGTCACTGTCCTGGGAGTCTCTCTGGGTGTTTGGTGGGCGCTGCCAGCTGCCCAGCGTGGTGAGGAAAGATCATCCTGAATATTGTGGGGGTTTTGTATCTCGAAGGATGTGGCAACCTGAGCGCTCAGAGAATGGGGTGAGGATTCCCCAGGCCACTGTTCTGGGCAGTGAAAGAGAGACGAGGACCCCCCCCATCACTGATTCCTCCATTCTGGGTGGGGTTGGTGTGTGAGGCCACCATGTTGCTATTGGAGGGGGTGGAGGAGTTTGGCATTGGTGTGAGGGTTCCCATTTCACTGGTCAAAGTGTGGAGCGGTGTTATATTTTTTGTGTAGTTTTTTTGGTAAATCTTGACTCGCTTTCACAGAGGAAACAGCTACAATTTCTCCTTTTTAAAAAACTGTTTGCCCTGATCATCTCGCTCTCAAGGTAACACCTACAGCCTAACAAACATCACAGAAATGTTCTGAGAACATCTCGGATACAGGCCACATTTAAAACTAAAGTGGCAAGGCGTTCCTTCACTAAACCAGGATAAGCTAACTGTTACGTCAGGAGTAGCCAATTCTGTCAGGTCCTGTTTTGCGATACTTCCCGTTTGACTCACAGGCTCTGCTCTGCACAGAAACTCTGAGGAAGGAGAGTATCGAGGGAGGATGTGGGAGGGAGCTCTGAACCTGAGGGATGGGGGTTTGAGCAATGAGTGCTGTTTAGTGGGTTTGAGGATGTCCATGCATGCTGTAGGTGCCGCACCAGATAACAATATCAGTTAGTGTTTGCAGCCTATGTTGCGGACAAGTTCAAACAGCTCTGGACAGGGGTGCTGGCACAATTTCTATAGGGTCCTTTGAACCAAACTGTAAATCCTGAATATAATGGAAACTGCTTCAAGTCAGCAGCACCAGCGTCTATGGCTCTGGACCAAACTTTCTGCTTCAGCAAAAGCCGAATTAGTTCTCAGGAGAAAGGGGGGCATGCAAATGTGTCTTTGTCTCTCTCTGTCTCTGGAATTTAGTCCTGGAAGCTTCTTAGAGTTGTGAAGATGTGGGAGTAGCACAGACAAATCACTGTAAATCAGATCTATTTCTTTGCCAACTGGACACAACCATTGGGGTGGGTTATGGACCGTGTTGAGAGCTAATTGTAAATGTTTCCTTTCTGGGGGACACAGTGCTAGTTTTGCATAAAAAAGCATCTGCTGCTCCGCCCTCAACTCAAAAAGACACCTGATGCTGACTATTTCTTACATATCTTTCTCCTATGTCTGATGAAGTGGGTTATGCCCTAATCAATATGTTAGTCTCTAAGATGCCACAGGATTCCTCATTGTGTCTTACATGGTTAACGCTCTGAGGAAGAGTGTCTATAGCAGTGGTTTTCATTTGCAGAACCCTAAAAAATGTCAAGTGGATATGGACCCCTTTGGAAACTCATAATCTGCAAAATCTGCTGTCACTAGGAGTCTGTGTTGACAGGTTGAAAACCACTGAAATAGAGGATAGTCATGAAACAGTAGCAGTATGTGCGTTCTTCAGTCTCTTTGACCTCCATCAGGTCTGTTTTGCATTGGGTGTAACATAGAAACTGCATTAGTGGTCTTGGTTGATTGTCTCCTGTTGGTGGATAGTGATTAAGTCAAATTCTTTTTGCTCTCTAACTATCCTCAATGCCATTGACAAATCACGTGAACATGGATTCTAACAGAGACTGATATGGTCTTGCCTTGAGCACTTCTGTGTTTTCTTTTCTGAGAGGTCTCAAGGATTTTGGGTAGTTTGTGTCCCGAATATGATCTCGTGTGGGGTTCCCAGGGTTTCATCTTGTCATGTCTGGTTCAGTGTGTATGTGGTGCTGCTACAGCAGCGAGGGGCAACGTAGGCTCATGAGTGACCCTCCTTCATCTCTGAGGGCTGCAGGATTGTTGTAACCAAAATGGTTTCCCGGGATAGGGTAGTTTTGCTAACTGCACTTACCTAGAATTTGCGAATGTGCGGCTTGAACTGTAGCAGCGCTTTGATAGGATGCAGAGGGTGAGCCCAGCTCTCCCAGTTAACCTTAGGTGCATGCTGACTGCACACCGCTCTATGTGCTGTCACTAGTAATACCGGTAGGAAAAAACTACGTGGCTGGAAACCACCAGAATCTGGCCACCCAGTTCATGGGCAAAGGGTAAACAAAATGTCTCCTGGGCCACGCTGAGAACCCCAGTGGACCACAGGTTGCTCACCACTGTACTAGTCAGTTTGGTAAGGCAGCGGGTGCAATGATTCCTTCAGTATGCAAAAAGAATTCAGCTCCTTTTGCATGCCGTGTCCTCTGTAAGATGTGACAGGACACATTAGTCCCTGACGAGATTGGGGTGTGGACGCACACTGGGATGACTGACACGCAACCCAACTGTTAATGAAAGAATGTTGACACTGGGTATGAGACATCTCTTCTGTCTGCACCTCTGCTTAACGGGTGTGTCTGCAGTTGGCTTGTAAGGGCACCTGAGGCTCTTTTGATTTTCACCACTGCTACAGGGGAGCCAGATGACAGTGGTGCTCCGGTGCATTTCTTACCTGCTCTTTGTGAGGGTGTTGTGGCCTTTCCTTTTGGATACAGACGCTGCCCTGATTATCCATGCCTGTGTCAACTGCAGGCTCCATTATGGCAATGCTCTTTACAAGGGGCTGCTCCTTGCACCCTGTCAGAAATTGCAGCTAGTGAGGATATGGCTGCCTGCATATCAGGAGGATTTCACATAAGGACCGTGTTACATGATGCTCCATGAGCGGCATGGGCAACCAGTGATTTCCAGGTGGAATACCATCTTACATTTCTGCTTTGAAATGGTTTGGGGCCTTTTTGTCACATGCTGCTATAGAACAGAGAACATCTAAAGTGCTCAGGCTGACAGTTCCCTTTCCTGCTAAAAACAGGGGAGGGCTGGCAGCAAGAAGTCCTCTGCGAAGAGTCCTGGGCTTTAGAGCTTGCTTCCTCTCTTGGTCCACCCACATGGTCATTGGTGATTTTCAGGCTGAGCGGTATCCCCCAAGCCTTCCATGCGGTGGGAAGGCTTGTGTGGATCAGTGGCTCTCAACCCATGACCCAGTCAACACAGCTATGGCCCATGTGACATCCTCATTGCCATACAGGGGGTGTGTGTGTGTGTGTGTGTGTGTGTGTGTGTGTGTGTGTGTGTGTGTGTG